GTGATGCTATTTCTCTTCTGTGTCCCCAAATTAGAATAATAGATCACTGAGGACAGGGAATTCAACTACCTGGAAGAGGATTTGGCTTGGAGGATAGAGAAAGTTCAAAACATATTTTTGACTTAAGAAATTACAGAAGGGTAGGGCAAGATGGGAGCACGTGAAAGGACCGTTCTAGATTTGGGGGCAGTCTGCAGTTTTCAATGCCTGTACAGTTCTCAGAGGAAGGGGAAGTTTGACGATTGGCAAAGACAGCAGGTAGCGAGACTAGAAAAACCAGACAGTCGTGAGCTACGTAACATCCATTCAAGCAACATCTTCCCGCACATATGTCCTGGACCCGGAAGGTCAGAACAGAGTTCTAACATAGCCCTAGGGACACAAACACATGGAGCAAATGCAACAGCTTTCTATATGCAACAAGTGTTTTTCACGTCTCCCTCATACAAAGCAATTATGCCACCAGGGGTATGATGGCACAGTACACACACAATCTATAAAACAGCTGTCTTGAGAGTCACAATCACTGCCTATGCTCCGGGCTTATGCATGTATTGTTCAGTACTAGCTCTTTTAAAAGTCTGCCCTAGAACAGCGTATGCTGCAACGGGTAGACAATGACATCCACTCTCGAGTATCATACGTCTCTTTGCTTAACTTTCACTCAAAAGTATTATCGTGAAGGGCATCATGGCTCCCCAAGGCAGCAAAACCTGTGGTTCCCATAGCAGCGACAAGGGACAAAGGAGAAACATCCATTTGGAAGTGAAATAAAGGTTATAAAGCAACACAAAGGGAGAACACATTGACTGCTATTGCTCACAAGTCAGGCACCTCTGCTTGCTAAGTATACAGAATGCTGTTCGCACAACACCCAAATCACAGTAAGCCTTATTTCACGGAACGTCTGGTGGGCATTAAGTACCGCACGCCTGTGATATAATTCCTAGGCAATGTTGAGACTCCATCTAAAGGTGCTAAATATTGAGTGATGCCTCTCTGTTCAGTAGGAGAATTTCCTACAACACATGGGTTATAAAGACAGGCAGTTAAATCTGAGTTGGGTAAGAAGGGAAGTGAAGGGTGGAAGGGGTTAATTGATAAGAATAGATAAAACAGGGGCTTTCAATAGATTAGAGACTGATAAAGTGAAAGAACAGTTACAACAACATTCCGGCTGAGGAGATAGCAGCAGGCTATTGGCCCAGGGCGATGTTTGCATTACTGATTACAGGCAGGTTACAAGTGAGACCCTTTGTGAAGTCTGCCTTTAAGTTACATTTGTAGGTATGTCAGAATAGGCACATACAGTTCTTACTTAAGCCCCAGTTATCAAATATTTCTTTTGGTATATAGTATGTACTTTACCTTTTCTAGGCCTATAAACACTCAACCAACGCTTCCAAATGCCTTAAAACATCTTAAGCGTACTAATACAGTAGATGATATAAAATAGTAATAATAAAAGTAACTATATATGGTACTGAACTGGAGAGAAGGGATCTGTGAGTATGTATATGTGTGCATAGGGATACAGTACTCCAAAAAATTTTGTTTTTAAAGCAGTTTAGATAGGGGGGAAAATTATTTTAACGGTTAACCCTTACTCTCATTCCATGGATGTCTTGCACACCCAAAGGGGGATTCATGAGGTGAGATTAGGATTAACATGAATAACTGGGGGATGCTGCGGGAGCAGTGGCGACTGTTGACGATGACGGGCCTGGTGTTGGAGAGGACGGGCCTGGCGCTGGAGAGTCAGGGTTGGAGTCTGCTGCTAACAAGGGAGCGTTTAGTACTGGCGTCAATTTTTTAAAGTACACCTCAAGGGAGCTTTGCTTTTTCCTGTCATAAATGGCCTTGTAGCAGCTGAGGCCCTCAGTAACTGCACGATAAGCTTGGGTGAACCTTTCTGAATTAGGATCTTGTTCCTCTAACTTTGCCATCCCTGCTTCGATGAGACGAAAGGCTTCAGCTAACTCTTTGGTGAAAAACTTCTTCGGTTCTGAGTTTTTGGGGTCCTGGTCCTCTCCCCCCAATGCGGTCATCTGCTGCTCCAGTTCCGTAAGGTCTTCATTGGTCAGTTCTTCAGTGTGGGAGTCGGGTAACTCTCCAACATCATTTTCACTGATGCCTAACTGCAGTTGACTTCCAATATCAACCACAGCTTGCCTGGCGTCAGTGATGTCATCAGTTAGGAACCCCTGAAAAGCATGCACGGAATGGGGGCACAGTTTGTTCCACACCCCTTTCATATTTGACTCCTTCACTTCATCCCAAGCATCAGCAATGTTTCTGATGGCATCATAGATGTTATAATTCCTCCAGAACTGCCTTAAGCTTATCACATCATCCTGAGTAGCCCTGACTGCCTGGGAGAAGGTCCGCCGTAAGTAATGGGCCTTGAAGGAGGCTATGACTCCTTGACCCATCGGCTGAAGTAGTGATGTAGTGTTAGGAGGTAAAAACACCACCTTTACATTGGGGTGAAGGTTGTCTAAAGTGCTTGGGTGGCCGGGTGCATTGTCAAGCACAAGGAGAATCTTGAAAGGAATTTTCTTGGCCAAGCAATAATGTTCAACTGCAGGGACAAAGTGGTTCAAAAACCAGTCTTCGAAGATGGCGATCGTAACCCAGGCCTTTGCATTTGCCTTCCAAATAACGGGAAGGCACGCTTTAATGATGCGGCCAAGTGCCCTTGGGTTTAGGGAGCGATAAACAAGCAGAGGCTTGAGTTTGAAATCCCCGGAGGCGTTACCCCCAAGCAATAACGTCAGCCTATTTTTTGATGCCTTATGCCCTGGTGCATTTTTTCCCTCTCTTGAAATATAGGTCCTTTCTGGCATTTTCTTCCAACATAAGCCGGTCTCGTCCACATTAAATATTTGGTCTGGCAAATAACCTCCCTCCTCGATCATATTTTTCAACATTTGGGGAAAATCACCCACCGCACTTACATTGGCACTTACCGGTTCATCTTGCACTCTAAAATGATGCAAATTGGCCCTCACCTTGAACCGGTTGAACCAACCCCTACTTGCAACAAATTCTTCATCACAGTCACCTCCGCTTACAGCACGTGCAGCTTTTAAGTTGTTGAAAAGGCTCCGCGCCTTTTCTTGCACTAAACTAAGGCTAACAGGCATATTGCGCTGGTTTTGGTCATTTAACCAAATTATCAACAGCCTTTCCATCTCAATAATTAAGCCACTGCGCTGCTTGGTGATAATTGTCGCTTTCAGCGAGAAGGAGCCCTTCACATGCTCCATTATTCTTAGCTTATCCTTCAAAATTGTTCCGATCGTTGACCGGCTGTAGCCTAACGCTTTCCCGACGACGGATGGCGTTTCGCCTCTTTCCGATCGCTTTATTATCTCCACTTTATTTTCGATCGTGATTGTTTTCCTTTTCTTGGACACAACCCGGGCATTTGTATTGGATTGCCGCTTTGGAGGCATGGTTACAAGGGCGAAGAAAAAAAAGGGTGGGGGCAGATTTAAGCCAGATACAAACACCAACGCAGTATTAAGGGCAACTCGATCCAATTTAAAAAGGGTGATGGTGTTCTTCATCAAGCCCATGAATCATGGAAGCCAGGCAGTGTTTCCAGAAGCGTCACCAAGTGGTACCTGCGCTTGTTATTAAGAACCATTATATTTCACTCAAATTCTGAGTGAATCAATAGGCTTTTAAGGCAGTCCCGGTTTACGTAGGACTTACTGTACCAGGGAAAAGGTCCAAGTTTGGGCTGTGGGACTGGGAGGCTGATGTGAAGGCTGCTAGAGACGAAAGCCACTGTTGGAAGAGTTGTCCACATCGACTCTGAAATCATCAAAGGAGATGGTCAGAGGGGAGAACAACTACAAACCCAAAGATGTCTCCAGAGTGGGCCAGAGGGGCGACAAAGTCTGAGAGTCGGGTCAGAAACCGCAGGTGTCCATTGGAGAAGGTGGCAGGATTTAGCACATAGCCCTCACCTTGGGAATCTGAGAAGTGAGAATAATAAGGCAGGTAGTCCCTGACTTAGGTTTAGGGCACCCTGCACTTAGAACCGTCCATTTGGGGTGGGGGGGGGTACATCTTAACCTTAGTAAAGGAGTCTTGATGGTGAAGCGGGCTAAGCAGTGGGCTGCCAACCAAAAGGTGCCTGAGCGAGATGACAGGGTCCAATTCGGTAAAGATTTACAGTCTTAGAACGCCTTGAGGGGAGATAGATGCACGATATGGTCGCTGTGAGTCCCAGGGGACTCCAGGCAGTGGGTTCACGTTAGAGACCTGTAGTACTCACATTGTTGCGGGGCATAGTTTGCTGATGTTATCATTCTCAGACGTCACTCTGACAAAGATCGGGCTTATAAAGAGACTGATAATAAAAGGCTGAAGCAATAAAAACGACAACAGAGGAAAAGAGCTATCGACGGAATCGTCCGAACGAAACCCCGTGGTTCCCTCGGGGACTACCTGTACACGCGAAGGGGCTCCAGAGGGACACAGCAGCCTCAAGGGACAGTCAGGTTTCAGTTAAAAAAACATGGAGTTCGGAGAGAAGTTGATGTTTGAAGGCTTGGGAAGGATGTGAGGAAAGGACCGAAGCAGCGGAAACCCGTCTTTCACTTACCTCTGTCACCCCAATTGCGCAACCAGAAACTGCTCAGGGAAAACAGTGGCCAGCCCGGCTCTTTTCAACTCCCCGCGGAAGTGCTCACACCGGAAATCCTCAGTGTCCACACTTTCCCATTGGCCTTAAGCGTCCACTCGCTTCAACCCACTTCCGCCCGAGACCGTGTCGGGCGGGGCTGTTTCTCGGAGGCACTTCCGCTCCGCCCGGCCCCTTCGCTCTCTTAGGTGTCGCTTCCGGCCCAGGGCCCCGCCCCTTCGGCGTGGCCCCGCCCCCGCCCCGCCCCAGGTCTGCCGGCCCGCCCCGCAGCGCCGCTTCCGGTGCGGGCCCCGCCCCGGCTGTGGCCCCAGGCTGCGGAGGAGGCCGAGTCGCAGCTGCCGCGCCGGGGCCTCCGTGGCCGCCTCCTTAACCCACGGTGAACCGGGGCGCCCTGCACAGGTAAGCCGCGTGGGTCCTGGCTCTCTCCGCCGCAGCGGAGCGGGGGCTATGGCAGGTGAAGGGGCTGAGAGGTGGGACGGGAGGCAGGTGTGTGGAGGGAGGGGGAGGGGGAGGGGGGGCGGACGGGAAGGCGCGGGCGGCGGAGCACGGGGGGCCGCGGTGGGAAAGTGTGAGCGCTGGAAGCAGCCCCGAGACCCCAGTGACCCTTAGGGCGTTTTGAGATAAAGAACGGGGAAGCGCAGGAGGCCCCCCCGGAACCGAGAGGGCAAAGATAGGTGGGGTTGGGTCGATCGGAGAAGAGGCCAGGGGATTCGCTGGCAGAGCTTGGTTCAGGTAAAAGTGATAGGGCTGAATTGGGGGCGCATAAAGAATGGAGGGTGGGAGGCTGGCGTGGCCAGAGAGGTGGGTAGGGGCCGTGAAGGAGGCGTCCAGCAGGGAGGGTGGAGGGAGTGGTCAGCAAGGCCGGCTGTAAAAGCTGCACGCAGTCGGTTGCTCCGAGCTTGGTGGTCCGGGAACTTGAGGGGGGAGGGGGGCTGTGTGAAAGGATGAAGTGGTTTAGAGATTTCTGAGACAAGTTCTCTAAATATAGGCAGGTGGTGTTATTTGGATCAACTGACGGCTTAGGGACTGGGGGCCGGGGGGGGGGGCACGGGCTCTTGGGTGGGGGGAGGAGGGTGTGTGCATTGAGTGTAGAACTGAGTCATCTCCATCGTTCTGAAGAGGCTCCGAGACGCCTTCCCCTCTTGAGGGGACAGCATACAGAGGAGATGGTGCCAAGAGACCAGAAGCAGTTGTTCGGCGGCTGGAAGGACTCGGTTGGCAATTTATTCCGCTTTGTTGATGGACTGTGGTGATCTGATGATGCTTCAGGGAACTTTAAATGGCCAACGAATTGTTTGCCTTATTCTTTGTTTGGTTTTCTTTGTCCCAGCTTGCTTTTATTTCAAACGAATACTTTTGTCAGCTGGCTCTCTTGGGGACGGGAATCTCTCCGTGCTTTGTTAACACTGTAAGAGGAGCTCAGGCCCAGGGAAAGTATTGCGCAGGCATCTCTCACTTCTTTCCGAGTGCCGGGAGAGGAAGTAAAGGCTTCGAGAGGCCAATTGGAATTTGAATAGTTTCACAGAATACAAAAGGCGAGAGCAGCCCTTCTGAAATGAAAGGGGGGGGGGGGTTTCTTCCCATCTGGTTTATTAGTGTTCTTATTGCTCAGCTTCAAAGTTGATATGTTTTACCCAAACCCACGAAAGATACTCATAAGCCCAAGCCGTTTTCGCTGCTTCAGGTGCGATTGCATCCCCGTGGGTTTCTGAAGATGTTGGATCACTAAGGGTTTTGTGGTCGTTGCCGTTTTCTCTCCGCCAGTCCTCACTGAGCGATGAGGTGACCGAGTCCCGCTTGTGTGGTGCAGCTGCCTCGCCCACGGGACGGCAAAATTGCATGCCATGTTGCAAGTCCTGTTGACCTAAACTTTGCCTGTGCATAGTGATGTGTTCAACGATGCCTCCCTCAAATGTGTGGGGGCTGGGATCCTGGGGCGGAGGGGCGGGGCGAGGAGAGGAGAGGGTGTGAAAGGGGGGTGTGTTTGAAGACTGATTGGTAAGAATGCTGATAAACCTGCCCCAGAAGACTTGTGGCCAGAAAGCCCTTTCTTTTTATGTTGCTCATAGATTATCGTAGTGCAAGTGAATCTGAAAGAAAAAGGGGATGTGGAGAGATTTACTTGGCCCCTTCTGAAAAGGAGAAGCATTAACTAGTTGTTTAGACACAATTGATATCTGTTTCATATTGATTAACTTCAAAATCTCCAGAGGAATCCCCCTCCTGTTTGGTGCTTTCTGTGTTGTTGTTTTTTAAGTGACCATTGCAATTTGAGCGTCCTGCCTCCTGCCTGGTATGTCTTCCGTCCCTGCTGTTGGACACGGATGCTTTCTGAGACGGTAATGTCCAGTTAGCACGACTCAGCCCCTCATCAAGCAGGCTGGCAATTTGATCTGGAACATTTGAAAAATGTAAACCCAGGAGCAGTTTTGCTTGGTCCTGTTTTTTTCTGAGCGAAGTCATTCTGTGTCTGGCCAGTGTAACTCTCTCTGGGTTGGGCCTGGGGTCTGGAGTAGTGCACTCTTTTTGTACGAGAACCTTCTTTATTTTCGTGGTTTTCCTCGTCACAACCTCTCTATCATGCAAACCCAGCTGCCTTTTCAGTAACAAACAGCTTAAATATGTGAGAATGTTCAGGGAAAGGGATCAGAATGCAGGTGCTAGCAAATGAGATATAGCTTCTGGGTCTACTTCTGTTGAAACTGTCAGCAGTGCACCACTACCGAACTTCAAAGGAACTGTGGGGGTGCTGTGATTAAGCATTCAACTGCTAACCTAAAGGTCAGCTGTTCAAGCCCACCCCGTCCACTGCGAGGGAAAAAGACTTGGCAGTCTGCTTCTGAAAGGATGATAGCTTTGGAAATCCTACGGGACAGTTCCACTCTCCTACAGCGTGGCTGGGAGATGCGAATGGGATCTGGAACATTTGAAAAATGTAAACCCAGGAGCAGTTTTGCTTGGTCCTGTTTTTTTCTGAGAGATGCTAATGGGATGAGCTTCGTCCTGTATTTCCCTCTTCAGTTTGACTCCTTTGCTTTAGAGACTTGTCTCCCCACCCCTTTCCCAACACCCCCGCCACTCAGTCATCTGAAACTTCAGGTCCAGGGAGAATCGGCCTAGTGTTCCAAACGCATGGCCCTGTATTGGAGGAAAGAAAGCCTATTTGTGCTTGTTTTACAGCTTTTGTTTTTCCTTCTTCCGTGGTTTTTGCCAATCACTTAAGGTTCAGACCCAGTGTGCCTCCTGGGCTGTGCCAGGTCCATAGCCATGCCAATCAGTGGGTGAAGTTCCAGGCTGAGATGGAGCCTCTGCAGCAGCAACAGCCGAAGCAGCAGCAGCAGCAGCCGCCCCCGCCGCCCCCACACCTGGCTGCCTTGCAGATGGATGCCCGGGAGAAGCAGGGGCAGCAGATGAGAGACACCCAGTTCTTATATGCCCAGAAGCTGGTCACACAGCCCACTCTCCTTTCTGCCACACCTGGAAGGTCGCCTGCCACCCCTGCCTTGGGTCCCTTAGCCCGAGTTCCACCAGCCACTGCCACGCCCCGGGTTTTTGAACGAAGCAACGTGAGCTCGGAACCTGAGGAAGAGGAAGGAGGCTTGGAAGATGAGGACGGGGCTGATGAGGATGCAGAGGTGGCTGAGAAAGAGGCACAGACTGCTTCAAAATTCTTCCATGTGCAGAAAGCGGCTCACCAGGATCCCAGAGCGGGACCCATGCCCAGTCTCCTTCCAGCACCGGGGCTCCCCCCTCACGGACCCCAGTCTAAAGAAGACCATACCAAAGATGCTTCCAGGGCCCCACCTGCAGCCGCCACGGCTGGGCAGCCCAGCTGGAATCTGGATGAGCAGCTCAAGCAGGTCAGTTCTGGCATGGGGAGGGTATCTGTGGGGTCCTGGAGCTATGGGGGCCATGGATATGCACCCACCTCAGTGACCAACAAGCAGCCAAGACGGGAATAGAGGGTGTATTTCTTTCTAGCTCAGCGTTTCTTCATTGAGTTTGAGTGAAGTTCCTATCTGTTTTTCTAAAGTAAGAATGAGGTTGTAACCGTGGTATGAAAAACATCTGAAAACGTTAAATGTGTGCCTCGCTACAGTTTTTCCTAGTAGTCCTATAAAGAAACGATGCTGCCAAAGACAGTTCTTTTGGGTTTGGGTTCCAGGTCAACCCAGCAGCCTGCTCTTTAAGGCAGTTTGCCGCTTTGCAGCTCAAAGAGTTGATCATTTAAGGTTCGTGCACTGTGTGCATTTCCAGCAAAACACCCACTAGCCATCATTTGATTTCCCTCTTGAATCACCCCCTTTGACATAGGGGGGGAGACAGACCACACAACTCCGTGTAGCCACACAGGCTTCGGTGACTCGTGAAGCACTGGAGTCATTCAGGAGGCTTTGAAAAACTATAGACCCTTGGGTCTTCCTGACTTATCTCAGGGTGTGGAATCTAGTGAATCTCTGTTCTCAGCCAAGGCTGTGTAGTGCCTCGTCTCTTGGTAACTGGCAGGGCAGGGTTTTCTTCGCTCTAAGCATCCTCTTTGTGTGGTGCCATGGTGCTGTTTAGATCAGTCATGAAGAGCAGAAGACACTGTAGAAAGATCCTCTGGTGCCTAAAAGCCAGCATCTTTGGGCCACAGAGATCTGGGCAGTTGATGCAAAGGGCTTGGCTGAGTTTTACAATTGCAGCAGTTGCACTAGATTCTAAAGTCAGAGGGGTGAGAGTCAAATCCTCCCTGCCCTCCCATCGACTCTCTGTGTGATCTTTCACGCTTCCCACCTGACCTGAGCTAGAAATAAAGATAGCCAAGATGCCTCCCAAGGCTGTTGTCAGGAGTACCTAGCTAGCACCCAGGTGCCTGTTAGGTGGTGGTGGCAGCGTGCCATTGAATCGGTTCTGACTGGTAGGTAACCACCCTACATGACAGCTTCGAACTACCCCAGAGGGCTTCCTAGCTTCGATGGGTGGGCTGCAGATCACCAGGACCTTACATCCCTCGGAAGCCGCTGGGTGAGTTTGAACCACCATCCTCTGGACTAACCGCTGCTGAGTGCTTAACCACCATTGCCTCAGACAGGCCTCTGAAGAAGGGACGGCCAGTGAGAGTCGCAGAGGCTGCCTCCCTGACCGCCCAGGGCAGTCACAGCAGAGCTGGGACTGGGATCAGATCCCCACTTCCAGGACAGCAGCACCCTGGCCCCCAGCCCAGACCCGCCTCCTGGCTGATGACTCTGGGTTAGCAAAACATCTGTGAGTTGCCGGCAGCCCCCGCACTGCTCCGGGGTTGGCAGCGTTCCATGGTGGCCTCTGAGTCAGCTCCTAGCGGCATCCCGCCCTGAGAGCATGGGAAAGTTCAGGCCCCAGGCTGCTGGGCTGCCCCCACCTTGGCAGCTGGCCAGCCTCTGCGTGTGTGCGGTCGTTCCTAGAAAGTGCAGCTGCGTGCGAGGAACAAGTGGCGCTCCAGAGCCTGTCTGTCTTCAGGAAGTGCAGCAGGTGTTGAGGTCAAGCCATTAGGGCTTTGACAAAAGCGGCTTTTCAGAACTGGCGTGTGCACACGCGTGCCTTGGCAGGGCACCCGGCGCTGCGCTCCTGGTGGCAGCGCCCCCGTGGCTGCACAGCTAGTGCTTCAGGGGCCGGCTGCCTGCTCTGAAGCCTTCCACGCGTTTCAGGTTTCTGAGTCGGACTCATTCATTGCTGACCATCAGAAGACCTGCCAAAATGCCCTCTACTGGCCTCCTAGAGGGGCCTCGGGATGTGGGGACCAAGAAGTGGGTTTCAGGAGATCACTTAAGAGCCCACCTCCTTTGCCCAGGCTGAATTGAACCCTCAAGATATTTTCTCGGGCTGTTCCCCTGTCCTGTCCAGTCCAAACTCTGCCTCAAAACTGTGCTCTGGGATCTCGTAAATGTTTGGTTGTTAGTTGTACTTATAATGAGGATAAAAATACACATCGATATGCCCTAGTGGTGCAGGCTGCTGGGTGCAAGGTCAGCAGGTAGAAACCACCAGCCACTCCAAGGGAGAAAGACGCTGTCTGCTCCCGTGAACAGTCGTCCTCTCGGGAACCCAGAGGGGCAGTCTGCTCTGCCCTCTAGGGTTGCTCTGAGTCAGAATTGACGCGATACAAGTGGTTTTTTGTTTGTTTTAATTTTATATCTCTAACTCTAGATCCATCTATCTATAAATCTTCTAGGAGAGCCTGTAAACATCATTACAGAGAATGAATCTAGCTTATTTTTGCTGCTGTTCAAAGCCTTTTGTTAATTTGTGCCACTAACCTCTGGAGAGAAAGGAGAATATCCCTTGCCCCGGCAACCGTTACAGAGCTCTTTTAAATGGACACAAAATGATCTTGTTGACAATATGTCACCTGTGTCTATACTTTTTTCTCTTACACGACAGACGTGTGCCAGGCGTGACCTCCCTGAGTGGACTGAGGCAGGCAGGCTTCTCCCTCCTGGAGCTAATAATCTTGTGGGGGCTTTGTGGGACCCTCCAGGGGTATTGGGTCTCGGGTTGCAATAACTTGATCCTGTGTCTGCTGAAGCCGCCTGCGCAGTGCCATGATGCAGAGGTTTTAAGACGGGGTTTTGTTTCAGACACCAAAATACAGTCCAAAAGTTAATTTTCCCTGTACTAGAGCTTAATTTGGTAAGCCAACAAGTCTCAAAAAGTATTTTTGAGTGCAAGTGTGTACAAGAACATGTATACTCATGCGTGTCAGAAAAAGGAATCTGCCAACTGACAAGGAAAATACCTTTTGCTTCTGGAAACCCTTTTGTAGGACACGTAAAGGCACAATTGTATCCTGGATGGTCTTTGGAGAAACACTTAGAAAAAGTTTGCTTCTCAAATCCTGCTCGTTAGAAAGAATGCGTTCTCTGCCACTAGTGACGGGAAGGTGGGTAATAACATTGAGCGGAACCTTCTAAAGCCCGTCTGATTTTGACGGGCGGAGTAAATGATTGTCAAACAAGACGACAGACCAAGAGTGAAGTGTTGTTCCTCTCCAGGGAGATGGGAGAGCCCTGTCAGCACATAACCACGGGAGGTGGTGCTGGCCTGTTGGCGGGAGTGGGGGTTGGTAGCGCACACGTGTGTGCACGGGTTTACGTCTGTGTTTCTGCCCTCCTGGGAAAGGGGATGGTTCAGCAGTACAGGCTTTGTCTGTCTGGAACCCAATGTTGGAGCCAGGCTTCCAGAAGGACACAGATGCCCATAGGAGGAGAAAGATGAGTGAGGTTCTGGTAGACGCGTGGGGCCAGGGTGTGCATCTGATTTTCTGCAAACCTGGGCACTTTTTTTGGTTACTGCTGGTGGGAAGAATTCTTAATCTCCATGTCTGCTTAGTCCCCAAGATCTCTTACCCCAGTCCCTGTAAGTAGTAAGCTGTAGTCTCTCGGGGTGGTCCTATGTTTCTTAGCACATACTACTTGTCTTAGGACACTCTGAACCTGTCTGTAGAGATTGTGCACACTTTACAGTCTTTAAAGGGGTTGGAAGGTGGGAGCCTGGTCATTCATTGACTTTCCCCATTTTCTCTGTATTTATTTTACAAAACAACCTTATCACTTTCAAAGTACTCCATTACACTTAATACATTTGTCAAATCTGCGATTCTATTCTTGGAAACATTTTTCAAACTCATCTGTTTGGATGACTGACAACACCTCCTAGTTTTTTTCTTCACCTCTTCTACATGTCAAATTGCTGTCCTTTCATGTCCCTCTTCATTTGTGGAAACAAAAAAGTGAGGTCAGGTGAGTAAGGTGTGTGGGGCAAGAGAGGCATGCTGTTCTTTTACCAAAAACTGCCGCACTGAGATGGCTGCGTGAGCAGGTGCATTGTGGTTGTCGTGGTGGCAAAAGTAGTCCCCAGTCTGCCACAGTCAGGCCTATTTTGTGGCACACTGTTAGGCTAGCTTTTCCGAATCTCTAAATAGACAGCTTGATTAACAGTCTGACCTGGTGGATTGAATTCTAAATGCACTGTGAGTTGACATTTTTCATCCCTTTAGGAAGTTGACAGCCGTCCAGAACGAGGTTTGTCATCAACCGATGACACCTGTTTTGACATGAGAAAGCCACTTGTACACTTGACGTTTTCCCACAGCGCTGCCCTTGAGAGCTGTGCTCAGCATCACAGCAGCTTCTGCGGCATTTTCCCTGAGCAGAAAACAAAATTTCATAGCCGCACGCTGTTCTCTTAACTGACCATCACAAAAAATGAAACTGATTTTACGAAAAAATTCACTGTGACCAGAGAGACCCTTCCCAGGTAGCGCCACTGGGTGCACTGATTCAGAGCGAGCTGCTCAGTGCTCCCCTGGTTTGGGGGTGGAGGGGGTGGAGATTCGAACTATAAAAGCTCTGCCCAGCGGGGCTTTTTTTCATTTTTTGGAGAGTGCCCCCTCATAATACGTGCCTCTGGCCTTGCTAGCCTCATTGGGAGGGAGACAGGCTCACCTCGTTTAATTGTGCTGCACTTCATTGCATGTCATAGGTGCTGTGTTTTTTTAAAAGCAAATCGAAGGTTTGTGGCAACCTCTTGTTGACGTCATTTTTCCAACAGCATGCACTCTCTTTGTGTCTCCATGTCACATTTTGGTAGTACTGTAGCTCACACTTTTTCATAAAGTTATTGTACCTATAATAGACGACAGCATAGTGTAAGCGTAACTTTTATATGCGCTTAGAAGCCCCCCAAAATGGTGTGACTCTCTTCTTGAAATTATTCACATTATTATGTTTGTCTGAAACTGAACCCACAATACCTCAGAGTTCTGCCCCGTCCCTCACTCTACATAATGATTTTCAACTGGGGGTGGTTCCTGCCCCCTGTCAGGTCCATTTGGCAATGTCAG